TGTATGAGAAACAGCTATTATTAATTTTTATATTCATCTATAGGAGAATTGAACATAATTTCTAAAGCAATTTAAAGCTCTGTGCAATTATACCAGAGTTTCATCTAATAGCCTTCGGCAAACTCTTATAAAGCTTTTTAAAAAATTAAATTAATCATAATTTATCCAGAAGTTGCAGTACAAAATGCAATGCTTCATTTACTGTTTTACAAACTATAAGTTTTTATAGTTCTTTAGATTTTCTTTCTTCAGAGACATTTGACTGATCAGTAAAAATAAAATTGACTAAAAGAAGAATTAGCTAGTTACCTAAATTAACTAGTAGTCAGCATAATTACACCATCACAAATTTGTCTAATTATCAACTTAATGATATTGAGGAGAGAGCTTTAGCTAAAGAAGTAACTTATGGTTTACCTCCAAAATGATTGCAGTGCAATAGTTATTAGCTATTTTTGAATCATTAATTAAATAGTGGAAAGCCTGGATTGTATCGTTGCCTGAATTATTTGAAACTTCATTTGGTAGTTTAGCTTTTTCACACTTACAATTTAGGAAATGAAATGTGTAATCTCTCTCTTAAATAATATAAAACTCTGATGAATCTTAGTAAGAATAAATATTTAATTATAATTATGTCAGACAAAGATATGACATAACTCTGTTAAACATGAATGATTATATTGTTGCGTCAGCGAGGTCACGTGACTAGTGTCACGCCACTTCTCTCGAACCTTTGGGAATAGTCGGAAGGTTACTAGATATAGGGTAGTCTGGTATATATATAAGAGGGTGACAATGTGACGGGACAATGTGTGTGTAGACAGTGAGTAATTGATCTGCAGTCAGAGAGAGTATTATTGAAGTTGAGCACGTTCGTTGTTATAGCGCGATTGTTGAAATTAAGTGTATCGTAAAGTTATATTCTGAAAGAATAAACCAGTTTTATTAAGTAAGGACCAACTGTTTCAAGTATAGGCACTTGTAACCACAGTTTAAATACAAACCAGGTTGTCCTGTAAGACCAATTGTTACAAATAATGGCACTTATAACTAAGAGTTTGTCTCAATATAAACCGAGTTGCCATGTAAGACAAACTGTTACAAATATTGGCTTTTGTTTGTAATTTGTTTGTTTTAGAGCAAAGCCACATTGAGCTATCTGCTGTGTCTACTGCAGGGAATCAAAACCCACATGTTAAGAGTCATAAATTCATAAACTTAGAGTTGACCCATAAGGGTACTACAAATATTTGCACTTTGTTTCAATTTTCCATTAAATTTTATCTATAAAATGAAAGTTTTAATTAATCCGTGAGAAGAATTTCATTACAATGCTTATATAACTATTTCTGGTGTTCATTCCTTATATACCAATATTAATTTGCAAAGAACTATTGGCTTATTTTCTGAATAGATTATTTTTTCTTCAAAAGTAGTTAATAGCGGTATGTAAACATTTTTTAATTAATGTCTTATTGTTTTTAAAAATTCTCATTTTATATTAAGCAGAACCATTTGTAATCTAATAGAATAGATGGTGTCAGTATGAGATCGTACATCATATATAACTAATTTAAAGTTGATATAAGAAACAGTGGCTGGAAGACTATTCTGAGACTTTTAAAGCACTACAATACAGATGATTCACTTTTGAAGATGTACATGACTCAAAATTGCCATTTTCAGAAATTGTAATATATAGAAGTTAAGTATGTTATATAAAAGTAGTTTTGGAGCATCAATACATCTTTACAAGCCATACTGCTACATTTGGTCATCCTCAATCTGACAATCACGCATCTTAAAAATAGTCCTGCAGCATAGTTTCTATTGTAAAAAGCTCTGTCATAAGTCTGTTATGTTCAAAGCACACCAGTCCTCCCTGCGAGCTTACCCTCTTCTTCACATCATCTGTCTATTGCACACACTACCTTCCTCTTCATCAATTCCCTTCCATACAATACTTGATGATGATTTTATCCAAAGAATTCATCCTTAATAACAACTTGCATCTGATCATATCTAATACACCCATCTGTTAGTTCTCTGGTCTCTCTAGGACTTTATGGTATCCTTAAGGCATCAAGGCAATTCTTTTCACTCTTCCTCACTGTCCATATCTCTTCTCCATGAGTGTGGGGATTATAAAGATGGTAAGTCTCAGAAGGCAAAGTTTAAGAACTATTAGCACATATCTATCACTCCAAATGCCCATCATGCTCAGAAGATCTCCATGCACAATTACAAGTTGTCTGCGAATCTCTTGCTTGTGTTTACTATTGAGCCAAATATTCAAAATTATGCTTTTATTGACTGGAGTCTAGTGGTGCCAGCCTTTAGTCAACAGCAACATCCTGCTTAATGAATCTTAATATGAAAAATGGTGCGTACTTGAAACAATACATTTGTGACCATGAAAAACTTAAGATTATTGTAGAACATTATTTACTCTATTCAAAGAAGACAGATCAACTTAAGGTAAGAACTCAGTATTTTCTAAGGTTCAGATCAAACTAGCCAGTGACACACAAGCTATTGAATTAATGTGTTTATTTCTTAATCACACCTTGAAAATAGGTACTTAAAATTATCAAAGAACTTAAACCTTGTAATCATGAAAGTCCAAAGAAATTTCTCTGGGAGGTGAGTCAAAAATCTAAATAAAGGGTATATATAATTGATTATATATATATATATATATATAAACTGAACGAATAAAGAAATAAATATGTTTCTCATTTCCCAGGGGGGAAATGTGCTCCCTGCAGACAGCCATGCTTGTAATAATAGTTAAGTAACCAATTCTGGAAAACAGATTTTGATAGTAATTACTGATGCTGTGTCTTAGCATGGGGTGGGGGTGGGGGGGGGGCATGTTTAGAGTTAGATCTGTAACAGGTAACCATGATAGAATATGACATAACTACCAATGTCTGAAGGTTGTATCCAAGTTTATGGTTTCATCTCCTTGAGTTTAAAAGTACCAAAGAATAAATTATGAAGGTCCTTGAGAATGTGTGTATAAATAAGGCATAACAGCAGTAGTCATATTCAGCATTCTATGATGTAGAAACGAGGCATTACAATAAGAGTCGTATACAACATACCATGGTGTAGAAATGAGATATAACAGTAATAGTTGTATACAACATTCTATGATGCAGAAATCAGGCTTACAGCAGGAGTCATATACAGCATACTATGATGTAGAAATCAGATGTAATAGTAGTTCTTTACAGAATTCTACAATGTAGAAATCAAGCCTACAGCAGGAGTGGTGTACAGCATTCTATGATGTAGAAATCAAGCATAACAACTGTACCAGTATATAGCATTTTATAGATTGGAAAATTCTAGAGTCAAACTATGATGGAGAAAGGTTTTTGGATGTCTTTCTTCACCAGTTAGTCAAGGAACCAACTAGAAACAATGCTATTTTTGACTTCTTGTTAACTTCCAATACAGAAATGATTGAGAAGGTGGAAACTGGAGAACATCTGGGTGCAAGTGATCATTGCTCTATTAGGTTCGATGTTTTGCTGCATATGGAGATAAGGAATAGTCATATTTTTGCTACAAATTTCAAAAAAGCAAATTTTGAAGGGATGTGACAAGAATTGTCTGTTGTGAATTGGGCAGCTGAGTTATTTGGAGACACTGATCAGATGTGGAAAATTTTTAATTATTCAAGGAAAACATATTCCTTATAGAAAGAAAAGGGTAGCTACAAGTAAAAACCAGGTTGGCTCACAAAGAGTTTAAGAAACAAAATTTAAAAGAAGCATAATAAATTTAAGAAATTTAAATTGACCAGAATGACAGGAGACTTAGATGATTATAGAAGATCAAGAAAGTTGGTGAAACAGGAAATTAGGACATCAAAAAGAATCTATAAGAAAAGGTTGGCTGAAAATGTAAAAATTAACAGTAAGGATTTCTTTAAATACATTAAAGGTAAACAAAATGTTAGGATGGGGATAGGACCTTTGAGGGATGATAAAGGAAGGCTAGTATCTAATGATTATGAGTTGACTGGATTATTAAATTTTGCTTTTTCTTCGATTTTTACTAATGAAGATTTAAGCAATATTCCACATCTTAATCAGTTGATAAATGCAAACAAGATCAAACAAGATGACTGCATTAATTCTGATCTGGTTAAGAAAAAATAGGGAAGTTTAAAAAACGATAAGCCTCCAATGGTTTTGAAGGAGGTTAAAGACTGGATATATGAGCCACTTACTACTACTTTTTGTCAGCCCTTGAATAGTG